TCTTATTTCCCCAAATCTGCATTGGGCCAGGGGTAACAGAAAGCACTAAACCCATCTACCCTGACTCTACCAGTGCCACTGTCAAGATGGAGTGTTCTGCGAGACCACTAGTGGTATCTTCATGATATTAAAATTACTCTTTTGCCCGATCCAGATTGTACTTTCTATGGACTATTATTTAAAAAGCCCTACCTCCACCCTAAGTGGAGCCTGGCAGACCCTTGCCACCTACCAATTCGTAGCTGCTGGGTTAGTGAACCTTGGAGAGTTCCTCATCGATTTTGTATAGCACAATACAGTTGGGAAGTAGAGTAGTGATTGCACCATATATTGGCACTCTGGCATGGTAACTAGTCAAAGCACCTTTATAGATTTGTAGAGTGGCAGGAAAAATAAACATATATGTTACATGGTGACAGCATTCTCACCAACTACCGTGTATCATATGGTGATAGCACTTTTGTTAAGTGTCATTTAAAATGTTTTATGAATCATACAATTTAAGTTACTTATTCACAATTTACAATAAGTAAATAGTAAATTAGTCATTTTACATAAGTTGTGATTATGTGGTAAATTTGAAGTTTTATTTTCAGTTTCTTGAGAAGTTGTTGTCTGGATTGAAAGTAAGTTTTGTGGTTAGAAGGTGCATTAAAATGTGCGTAGTGTTTAAACACCTGCAGTTTTGAAAAGAAAAACTTGTCATTATATGGTATGTTTTGAATTATTAATTTTTGTTGCATACCAAAATTCTAATTTGATTTTGTTTTGTTTGTTTTTCAACCTACCGATTTTACTGGTATTCTAAACGCTAATCATCTTAGTCGTGAATGAAAGATATTTATAATATAGCATCTATACATGACTGTTTTTAACAGCTGATATACTTTGGAATACTATTTCAATTATTCTCTATGTCTCCAGTTTATTAAAAATGTCTGTGTTTTAGAAGGTTATTACTATAGGGTAATTGGTCTTGCACAAATCCCATTCCACCTAACATGTAGAACTTCACATCCAGATAAACACTTTAAGTACTTTTGCTTAGTATTGTAAATAATTGTAAATTTTCATTCTGTATTAAGTGAACAATATCTTTCAGATATCTTGTGTATTTTCTCCAGGATTTCTTGTGGATGGACCTGAGACACTGATCAGGTTTATATCTGCTAATTTACAAACAGTTCCTTTGAATTCAGGTGGTAAAAGCATAGTATAAAAATCATATGTAATGAAAGAGTTTTAAAATGTCCTATTTATGTCGTAAACTCAGTTTTGTATGTGATACATGTATAAATGCTATCCAAATAATAAAATCCCAGAAATACTTCTCTATGCAAACTGGTATTAAATTTTTACTTGTATAATCAAATGTATCAACAAAAATGATACAGCCAGAATCATAGGAAAATATTTGTAGATAGCAATAATTGAAAAGTATTTTTAGATAAGAGTCAGATTTTGTAGAAGTTCACTAATCTATCAAATGCAATAAATTTGCATGTTTAGTATTTTCATCTTAAATACAAAATTACATGGATATTTATTACGTTTTGAAAGGCATCAAATGATAAAAGTTATTTTGGTTCTGTGTTATAAAGAATTTGAAAATATTAATAAAATCACAATACTATCTTTTATATTCAGCACTTAAGGTAATACAGACCGTTATGAACTTTAGAACATACCTTCCTAAGGTACCAACTGGTAAAACATTTATTTTAATTCCTCCTTATATAGAATTTGAAAAGTTAAACATCACAATACTGTATTCTAGATTTAATCCTTGTGTCACGAGCTAAGAGGTTAATTCAACCCTGACAGGTAATACAAGCCATTAAAAAGTTTCATACATACCTCTTTTATGTTTAAGGTTATTTTTTTTAACTTATTGTTGTATCTTTAATCGCTGTGAAAATGTGATATTTTCAAAGTTGTTATATGTTAGAGAAAATGCAATTGCATTGTTTAAAACCAACATGTTATAAAGAAGTATTCTGTGTATTTTGAATATAGTAAAACACTGTTGCAGTAAACACTGTAACAGTTGCACTGCTACACCAAAACTTCTTTAAATAGCCATTTTTATATGTTTTTCAGTTAGTTTCACAGTACTGAATATAATTGTTAAATTTGAATATATATACACACACACACAAAACTTGTTTTCTAATATATATGTTTTCAGCCTCTCCAAGTTAAACACCGTAATTCAATTCAGATTTTTTTACCTCTGAAATAGTGACAGCCTTTCCTAGTTGGGTTGCTCTCCTTTAATAAACAAGCAGATGGCTCAAAATTCTGAATGTCCATGATGCAATGTAAAGCATATGTTAACTGGCCCATAATTCACCACTCCTACCTTATTGCATATGTTTCAGGAGAACGTATAATATAAGCTCTGCTTTACCACCATAAATCAGATTTTCATCTTTACAGTCATTCTGTTAACTTTGCTTAATAAGAATCTTGATGCCAAAATTTTTTGCTTCTGAACGTGTTTCTACCAATGTCCGAAATTATACAGCTTCTTTGGAAGCCTTACATAGTCTACCTCCATCATGCAGGGAAATCCCATGGTTGTATTGTGATCCCTTATTGATCAATTTATTCAGGCCATTAATTCTGAATTGTTTGCTGATGCATGAGCAGAATCTTTCAGAGGGGGTTTGAAAAGGATATTTATACCTAATGGCATTTCTCACACCGTTGATCTTGCTCCATCCATACTAACAAATTGTCTTGTGCATCCGATCCATCTTATCTATCATGGTGCACCAAAACACCTCATAGGTAAATTTCAAGGTATATCTCATCAAATTTGCCATTTGAAAAAGTCCTTGGATTTCTTGTACGTGTTAGAGGAAATTTTAGAGGCTAGTATGTGAATGAATTATAAATACATTTGTAAAACTATATTTTACATCATATTGCTCTCTTCTGTACTTTTGAATTCCATTTGTTGACTATGGTTGTTCTCCAAGCTGTATGGAATCCATAGAAGATTAGTTATTATCTTTTACCTGGATGGTTGATTTAATGTTACTTTGTAGTTTTGTTTAATAACAGGTAATAAAGTTTGGGTGGTAAGAGAGAAATTCAAAATTAGTATAGACAGTAATCATGCATTTCTTCAGTATCTTACTCACAGTGGATGTGAGTAGATGGATGAAAATTTTCAAGCACTTATACTATCATCACTGCATCCAGTAATTATTCTTTTTGAATTTCTGTAGTCTCCTTTCTTTATTATATGTTTACTGATTGGCTGTGTTAACTGTTGACCTTTATAAATTTTATGCAGCAGTGTATTGTAAGACTCATCCATATTCAGTGGGGAGTAGGTTTGATACCGGCAGAGGTTCTGCTGTCCTAAATACTTTGTGTAATATAGCATACATTCGTAACTGGGATAATAGCAAATCAAAAAGAAATCTTATAACTGCAATTCATTCCTTACAACTTTAATATAAAGTAATTATGTTATGGTAATTATCATAAATGTTTTTATTTAGTGGACTCAGGGAAGTATAATTTGTTAAATAGGAGATTTTAAAAATTTTGTTTTACGGTAAGAGTTTTATTATCTTATGATATAATTTTATTTTATATGTCATCTACATTGATAAAGGGTATAAAATTACTACAAGGGTTAAATTGTGAAGAAATAAAAAATTTTTATATAAATATGGGCCACAAGAAAAATTTTAAAAAATTACTTTACATATAAAGATTTCAATTATGTTTTTTATAGTTGAATGTTTTTTTTATGATATGTAGTACTGCTGTACTCATTTTGTATGTACCGAACTCTCAGTTGACCTATATATGTTACATTATCTCATGTTATGTAATCATTCTCCTTTGAATATGTTTTGACTAGGTGATGGTATACCTATAAAAATACCATGGACATGGCCTTTCTTGTCAACATTTTAAATTTCTTGTTTGTACTGCACTTTTGTGTGTGTCACCATTTTGGAACAAGTTCTGTTAATTGTTATTTTTATATTCATTTTATGATAACAGTTTTAAATTAAAGTTTTTTAAACTGTAGATTTAAATACAAGAACTTGTAATAAATTGTATTCAGGAAAAAGTATAGTAGGTTTTTTTGGTCATCTTCTTGTTAAGCTTTTTTTTTCAATTATAACTATTTTTGTGGAAAGTTGTAATGTTATTGACAATTGTGCAACTGTAATTTTTATGGGGGGACTGACTAAATTTTCTAGCTAGAATTCTTTATTTTAAGTATTGTATTTATGAAGAACATCATTATAGAAAAACAAGTTATATTTGTTATCAAGTTTCAAAGGAATTCATCAGGTGGTTTTAGAGAAAATTAAAATATAGCCCAAGATGCAATCGGAAGATATAGAACACCCATAAGGTAGAGCAGTGAGTAATGTGACTATGCATTGAATCATATTAAATATTACAATGCCTGGTTATTTACTAGTTTGGGAGGCATGAGTTCAATGCAAATTGAGAGGGATGTACCAGATTATCTGCACTTTATAAATCATTTGAGTCTTGCTTTCTGTAAATGGCCCGTCTAATCACTCATTGAATCCCACTACTTATCATTTTTATATTATGATATTTATTGAGTAAAAGTAAAAGAACAAAAGATATGTAAGCTTAATTTTTTTGTCAAATTTAACTCAATAACATAATTCCTCTCCATGCTTCTTTTTTTTTGATTTTTCTGAAAACTGTATATACAAACTTTTTGTTTTGGGATAGTTATTAGTTCTGAATAATTTATATTGTTAATTAATTTGACTTGAATAAGAACAAAGAAAAGTCGAACTATTTCCTGCCTTTGTCAAAAAAAATTATTGCAGGAAAATCTACCATCTGTGTTTGACTCATTAGGACATGTAGGTGCCATGAATGCTAGTCCCTAAATACTGATTTGTGTACAAGTGTAGGTAACCTTAGGCTGTGTAAACATGTAATTGACATATACTTTAACTGAATTTTTCCATCTTCGCCAGGTATTCCAAGTTCCCATAGCCCCAACTCAACTCAACTTTATTTACCCTCAAGACCCCTCAGCACACCAACTCATTCTTACCGGGGTATGTGAGGTCCCTTGAATAGAAGAATACAGCAAAATATGATTTATTAAATTATTGAAGAACCCTGAACCAGTTCCCATTCATTGTTGTACAGAAGTTTTTGAACAAAAGTCAAACACATTATGTGTTGCAGATTCATTATTGTTAACCTTGGGCATTTATAAATTTGTTAAGGTTCATTGAACATGAAATATTTCTAAAAATGCAATATTTGTGTAGTCTACTTTTTTATGCATGATTTTGAGAACTTTAAAAGTGTTGATAATTATCATCCATTTATAAATTTTATTTTTATTTGTTTTCTGTTTGTGTAGAGCCTTAAATTTATTGTAAGCCATACTGAGAAGGAATGAAATTAATTAGACATATTATGTACAGTTGTATTGGAAGCATTTTCTTCCCAGTAGTTTTTCTCTTGTTGAAATCATTAGACATTGTAACTTTGTTAATATATATATATACATTTTGTTTTTGCTTTTGTTCTATTTAATTTGAAAATACAGTAAAATGTATCTAAAAAAAGTTTACTGTGCTTTAAATTACACTGCAAATCAACATGAAGAGAAGAAGAAAAAGGTAAAAAAATACAATTTTTCTATAAAGAGGATTACACGTGTAACAATATTTATATTTTAGGTTGATTTTTGGTGGTTTAACTGTTCAGTGACTGCTACATAATTGTTGAATATTTAACAGACCTTTTTTTGTTTTGTTGTTTCGTATCTGGGAAAACATAATTTATAATAGTGATGTTTGGAGTAGTATTTTATACTTTTCTTATATTTATGCTTACTTTAAATTTGTTAAGCATTTTTATCTCTACACTGATAGTTTTCTAAAAACTTTTTTAGGTTTTGATCCTCGTTCCCATTTGGCAAACTTTCATCATAACACTGGAACTACAGCAACTCCTCCACCTCCTCAACTGCAACCTCAAGAAGAAACCCAAAAACCCAAGATATCTAATGCTGCCAATCGTGGTTCAGGTGTTAAAACCCACACACTTTTGGCAAATAATGACTATGCCACATCTAACCGAAACTTCCTTGTAGCAACTACAATAGTTCCTACAACTGCTGCCTTTGCCGGGGTAGATCCAACCAAAGTAGTTTCTGCAGCAGCAGCTCAAGCAGCAGCAATAGTAGCTGCCGTAGAGAAGCAAGATGACATGAAAGACAAGTTATGGCCATGTCCAGCATGCAAGGTTCCTTTCAAGACAGCTTCTGAACTTCAAGCCCACCTCTCTCATCACACAAAGGGTGAGAGAACGGTTCCATGTGAAGTCTGTGGTAAGTTGTTTGTGTCAGCAGAACGAGTTCGAGTTCATGTGCGTGCAGCTCATGGAGAAAAATCATGTTCCTGTGACATCTGTGGCAGCGGATTCAGCTACCGTTGTAAGTTGTTAGACCACATGCGGACCCACACAGGAGACAAGCCATTCCACTGCGATGTCTGTGGGAAGAGCTTTTCCCAGAAGAACCACCTGACTCGCCACTCCATGATCCACACTGGAGAACGACCCTACCCATGTGATTTTTGTGGACGAGGTTTCTACCGGAAGGACAAGCTGTCCCGACACAGACGAATACACACAGGTGAGAAGCCTTATATATGTTTAGCCTGTGGTAAGGCATTCTACCGCAGAGATAAGTTGACACGACATATTAAAATGCACAGTGGGGAAAAGCCTTTTTTGTGTGCCATCTGTGGAAAAAGATTTGTTGAAGAAAGAGATCTGAAGAGACATAAATGCTCCTCTCGCCACTTACACAATTCCAGCTCCATCAAGTTCCGGACGGCAGCCCCGAGCACTGGGACCCAGCAGCAGCCTGATCATCCCCAGCAGCAGCCTGACCATTCCCAGCAGCAGCCTGACCATTCCCAGCAGCAGCATGACCATCCCCAGCAGCAGCATGACCATCCCCAGCAGCAGCCTGACCATCCCAAGCAGCAGTCCGAGCAACACCAATGCCAAGCTCTCCCAGCTCAGTCCCAGCCACAGTCCCAGTCCCAGCACCAACCATGTGGAGCTCAACCTGCAACACACTCCCAACCCTTTCAGAGCCTCCCCTTACAAACCTGACTGGCAAGGTCCTCCACCAGGGGTTCACTGAGTAACTTCATCTTACACTGGAAGCAGTGACTAGCATCAGGCTCAGGCAGGCTCACATTCCCTTTGTTTTTCTCATTGTTCTTTTTTTTTATTACTAAAAATATTAGGAGCCCATTAGATCTGAGCTTAGTTGTTATTAAGTATGAATCTTATATATAAAAGATTCTTTATAAAACTGTGTGTTAACTTTTCTAGCCACCAGAGTTGGTGTATTTGAGACAGTATTGCAATTTATTTGTATCTTAGTGGGATGAACAAAATATTTTGTGAATTGTTTAGTAAACAGCCAGTATAAATTCAGGCTCTTAGAAGTCATCATTTAGAAAATATAAAGTATACAGTTATTGTTTCAAATAGTTAGCATAATTCTTTGTAATTTGGTTGTACATTACAATGTATCTATACTCCCACACATTGTTTGAAAATAAGATCATATCATACTCTGTTTTACATTGATATGCTGTGTTAGCTATGTTTTGCTATTTGTATTAATCTATGACTAATTTGTTGTTATAACTGTTTTCATACATGTTTTTTGTGAATGTGTGTGTGTGAGTGTTTTTAATTTTTTTGGCTTTCCCCACCATGCATTAAATATATATATATATTTTTATTGGTAAAGGATTGAAATAGTTTTTATGCTTGTATAATTACACAGATGTGGTTGTGAGGTTAAAGGCATATTGATGCAAGTGTTCTTAGAGTATTATATAATGGGCATTTTGCATTTTTGTAAACCTATACATATAACATGTTAAATATTCATTTAGGCTTACTACTATGGTTTGACAGGGATATGATTAGCCTAAATGTCTTGTATAATAGTGGTAATCATAGTTCATTTGGCAAAATTTTACATACTTGCAATACGTACTGAGGCAATTTGACATTCAACATAAATTTGTTCCTTGCATTACATGTAATAACAAACATACTTCCTTTGATGTTTTACTTTATGATCTGATTACCATTATTTATCAAGTAAGTTGATGGATCTTCTCACAACCTTGTGATGTGTGATTTTATAATTCATGATTTGCCTTGTTACATATCAGGCTGCAAATCATTATATTAAAAAAAAGTGCTTTTCAAGAATTTCCCATGTAGTTCTTTAAATTTGGGTGTGATGAATATAACATTTGTTTTCCTCATTTCAGCCTGGTATGCATAACTTTGATTCATGAGCTGATAAGAAAATCCTTCTATGTCAACACCTACATAACAATCAAACAATGAAAATTTTAAGTTAGGATACTCTTATGAAACTTCACACTTGCTTAAAATAAAGTTAATGCACAGTAAAATAGTTCATAAGTTTTATTTTTGAAAAAAATGAATATCTAAATATCAAGAAAAAATGTTTTGTTGCTCATGGTGTTATCATGTTTCAAATTATTAGTGTACTTGAATCTTGGTAGATTAAGAGTTATTGGTTTGAATGATTTTTTTAGTTTAGTTGATTTCTTGTGTAGGTGTTGGTATTTTTAAGAAGTATTTTCTTTTTGTACAGATGTATACATAGCCATCAATTTAAGAAGAATTAGCTATTCTTAAGACATGGATATTAATTTCAATTAAAGATCTAAGATGGTTATTTAATCATGACAGATTGAGATACTTGAATTTTTTATCAAAATTGTTCAAATGTCATTATAAACCTATAGTAAGTGTAGTAAATATAGATTTCTCTTGATCAATATCAGTTTTAATTGTGTCTTTAAAACCAGTGCTTGCAGCTAATAATAGCAAGGGATTTGTTTTATGAACTTTAAAGAAAACTTTTCTAGCATTATAGTATTCAACAGAAAAGGACTTTAGGAACAGGTAAGACTACAGGATCTCAAATGAATGGTAAGGCCACAGAAAAATTTGTAATAAGCTATTATCTTTTTTTTTTATTCATTGTTTTCATTTTAGAGAGTGGGTAAGGGGTCTTTGAGAAAACTTACGGATGTATTAAATAATTATCCAACCAAGTTCTTAATAATAAAGGAGGAAATTAATTTTTGAATGTTATTCTTTGTCAAAAGCATGTTTTACTGTTATTTATCCTTGTTTCTTTACAGGCAAAAATGTTAGTAAAAATAACAACATAAAGATGATTAGTTTTTGAATTGGGCACATACATTGATTTAGCTTGTGTTAGATAAAATCTCAAAAGTGATGAGGTAAGAGCTAAATTTTTCTAACTTCTTTCATTGAAAGCTATTTCATAAGTTATATAATTTTGTTTCACATACAAAATAAGTAGTTTCATACAGTAGTTATGTCAAATTTCTGCACAAGCTTACTTATTCTGAAAACTTACTATACTGGGGGTTGTAAAACTTGTGTGTGATGGTACAGTACTTAAACAAAAAGAATCAAGCATAGCTGATGATAGAATACACTATCACGTTCAAGAAAGAAACTTAAATTCTTGAGTACTAGATTAAGAGATGAGGATCCCACTTGGGTTTTTAAGTTTAATATTATGAACAACTTTACAGCAGAAATATTTTTTAAAGCAACTAAAACTACAACTGTGATGTTTCAGCCCAAAGGCCTGAAGATGGCCCACAGTTTTAATTGCTCGAGAAAGAACACTGATGCATTAAAGCTGTTCACAGTATTCAACTTAAGTTCTGTAACATGATAATAGTGTAGTCAGAATTAATACTGCTTATCACCTAGTACCAGATACACTAGACAAAACTAAACATATTTTCCAATTTGAATGATTTTTCATGTGGATAGTGAGGATGGGAAGGTGTGTTCCTTTGTACAAGCTCTAGAGACATAATTTTTGTGTAATGTAGCATTGGAGGAAAATTAGTGCTATATGGTACGGCCCTGTGGATGAAGTGACAACTTTAAAAGGCAGTGGGTATAAAACTATTACTTAAAAATTTGTTGTTAATCTATGAAAATATCTTTAAAAATTCATAAAAAAAAGTATTAATTTTAGTCCTTACTTTTTTTAACGTATATACTTTAGTTAGAAATGTGATGAATCGTATTACGTGAAATGTTTTTGAATGATGTTCACAATAATTATGATGCTTTAATTAACTGATGCTTAAAAATATTGTCAACTGTGATGCTTTTATTTTAAGTTTGATAGTAACAAGAGGTGAATTAAATCAGATTCATCATACTAGTATTTATAACAAGTTTTCTTTCTTGAAACTGAATATATTGTTTTCATATTTTTATTTTACAACAAATATATATAATTTTCTGAGTTTTTAAAATTGATTCAGCTAAGGTAACTTGTTAGCTTTAGGGATTTTTAAATATCACAAATATATATTTACTAGTTATTTATGATGCGGCTATATTTCAAAGCATATTTTAAATACTAATTTGAGAAATGACAAAAAGCACATGTTCAGCAAATTATATAATGATTAATAGCTGATTTAGTATAAGCCCATCAGGTAAAAAGTATTCTTAGAAAGAAAAAAAAAGACATGGTAGTAACCACAATTTTCATAGATGTTTGACTCTACAACTAACATTAATGTTGCAGGAATTATAACGTATGTATCATAGGTTACAACGTGTAATTTGCACAGTAGAATAGAGTTGTTTTTTATCAAAGCTAAAGCAGAAGTATTGTTGGATTTATCATATCCTCTATGCTGTAATGTTGCTGTCTTAGTGAATCCATTTATTTGAGGACAAGGCTGGGCAGCCAAAACTACTGTTGTGAGAGTATTGCACATACAAAACCTCATTTATGAGATTTCTGAAAGGAATAGCTTTCTAATTTACAAGTCTATAGATAGTTTCAAGTTGGCATACCCAAGTAATTAGTGCTGTTTCTCACCGATATGTTCCTAAGATTTATTTTAAAACTTCATGATATCACAAATATGAGATAATCATTTTTCTGTAATCATCATATTTGGTGTTTTACTTTCAGAGTGAAATGTATTTAAGACATAAATATAAAATGTGTACATGTTATAAAATTGGCTAAGCCTTCTTACTTGTTCATTCATTTCAACTTGTGATTAAACTGACTTGTTGCTTGTCACAGTGATTTAAACTCACCCAAATATGACATTTTTGTAGCTGTTGAACTTAGTTGATTAGTCAAGTATCTATGCATTTAACTAAGTTAGTTATGAAATGTGTTATAAAATACATGGTTTATGTGGAAAAGGGAAATTTTGAAGTAATACGTGGGAATGATTGTTCATTTGAAAACTTAAAAGTTCTGATGTTTTGGTCATGAAAGGAGTTGCATTACATTGGTTTCTTTGTCTATTACTGTTTAATTTATAATCTATACTGTTTTCTCAATAGCTTTAGTTATATAACATGCAAATATTTCTAAAAGTTTACCTTATAAGCATCAGCCAGTAAACAAGCAAAAACTGAAATATTTACAAGTGACTAAATTTTTATCTAGAGAAAATAAGTGATCCTTCTTTGATAAGGTTTATTTTCAAAGAATCAACTCATAAAAAAAAAAAGGTCTTATTGAAAAAGTTTTGAAAAAAATTTCCTAAATTAATGCTGCTTGCATAATTATGATTATTAATAAGCTAGCAAAGTATGTTTCTAAATCCCACTTTCATAGTGTTATTTGGAAGTAGATATTTGAAAGTAATAGGCATAAAATTAGTGATAAAAATCACTTAAACTGCAGATTTTGAATCCAAAATGGACAGTGTAATGTGGAAAAACATATGTAATAATAGCTTTAGATACATTGCCAGCTTTTGAAATTTAAACCATAACTTTTAAAATATTATACTGCATAGATAAATAGTGTTTCAGAAAATCTTTTGTCTCATCATCTAGTCTAGCTGATGAGTTCTGGTGTTGAATGAAGGGCCTCTTGGGCAGTCATGTGGGAAACAAAAGATAGTTCTTAATTGGTGTTTTTACACACCTCTGATTTTGAATCCAAAATGAACAAACTAAGAGGTATGTAGAAAAAACAAATCAGCAGTTTACGTGATTTTTATCACTAATTTTAGACCTATTGGTTTTTAAAGCTTTGCCACTTTTGTTATTTAATCCTGTACTTAAAGCCTTTTTAATAATATATATTATAAGATTACTAAGATATAATTAAGCTTGTAACAATAAATTGCATGGTTTTAAGGATATTTTTAAAAGAAATTAGTCCTCATGTTGTCATATGATATCATTGTGACACCTTAGCTATAACTGCTGCATGAACCTTTCCTAATGTTCATGTTAAATCATTTAAACTTGTTATTAGTTATTGATAGCAACAACAATAAATATAACAGTTTAGGTAAAATGAACTTTGAGAATACATGGATGTAAATACATTTAAATTGTTAATGCTTGGCAGGCTTGGATAAATGGGCATCCAGCTAAGATAGCTTGTCTTTTATTATCTATTTTTATTTAATTTTTTGTTTTACTAATCTTGTAAATGTGTTTTTTTTTGCTACAGTATTTAAAAATTCATTCCTTGTTCTTTTATCATTTGCATGTTGGGCCTTAAAAAACTATGATTTAAAAATACTGCAATAGATAACAGTAAATAATGTTTTTTGCTATCCTTAATTCATAGAACCACAATTTTTGCTAAGTCTTCTTACATTGCCCAGTAAATAATACTGTACTGTTAATCTGTTTTGAAAACTTTGACAAGTAGAAGCCTAATCTCTCTTCTGTAGTTTATCACATAGGATGTTTCCTTTTTATATATATTTCTCACTAAGACACATCATTAAGAATACTGAGAGCTTATTAAAGTTTTAAAATGACTTTCTTTTTTTTTTAAGGGTAATGATGTGGAACATTTATTTCTGAAATGATCAACTTACCTCTCTGCATACATTAGCAGTTTCCTGTGTGCCTCTCTTTGAGATTTTGCACATGCCACCAGTCTTGAACTACCTCCCACCTAAATCATATTTTGATTTTAACTGTTCTAATACACGATGTAATCATCGTGCCCGGTATGAGGGTAACACATCTTTCATGCACAGTAGATCCTCTTAAGCATTTGTATTCAAAATTAACTTCACTCTTAAACTCGGCACTACCTTTAACAGATGTGTTTAATTTTGCTCTTTGTGACTGACTTTATTTAGTAATAATGTTTAGTATCATAGTTACTGTTTTTCTGACTTTTATTTCTGTACATTCCTATTCTTTTGTGAGATTTATAATTCCATTTCCCACTTTCGTTCATTTCTGCACATTGGTAAACTACAAGTTTTGTTAGGGTTACCTTTTGTGTTGATTTTCAATTCTGCTAACAGAAATTATTCTATACCCTGTACTTCACACATTTTCTTGAATCAACTGGTTTTTGTACTTGAATTTCTAAGCCTATGATCTATTACTTTGTGAGGTCATGAGTCTTAATTCCACAAACCTGTACATACCAGTTGTTGCATTAAAAAAACTTTAGATGATATTCTTGAGCAGGTCTACACTATGAACTCTCATGTTTCTGTGACTTTGTCCTCTCTAGTTCTAGCTCTGTTCGAAAAGCTAAAATATCATCTGGAATGAGACTAGTTAATGTTCTCTACTATAATTGTTTGCAGAACTCAAAATACCATACAATTAATATCTTGAAACTCCTCACAGCTTCTACACATTTATGGCTGCTGGAGGTTCCTTGTCTGTGGGAAATGTTACTGCTAGTTTTCACCATGTAACAGATTTTGCCCCCTCCCCCCTATTTCCTACATGTTCTCCATTCCTGAGCCCGACCACGAGGCTGACATTTTTCTCGCTATTTTTGCTGTCTGGTTTTGCTCTGGCCTTGTCATTCTCTGTTGAAAAACACATCATTCCTCTCTGTCTTTGCTGATTGTGTCAGATTTATACTGTGCTTTCCCTTTCTCCTCTGTTCTGAGTTTCTTCATGATCTTTATTCCCTTCTTTTGTGCTGTAGTTTATTCTTTTTCTCCATGTTAGATTTTCCTGTTTAAACATCTTTTCCACTCTTCTCTGCCTCATCCTCCTCCTATCCATGATTCCTTTAACATTGATTATAGTCACTCCCCTTTTGCCTTTTTTGATTCTTAATTCCTGGAATCCCTTCTGGGATGTTGACCCTCTATCTCCAGTATCCCTTACCAGAGCTCCCTTCTCTCATCTTTGCCTTCTCCTTGCTCTATCCCTTCACTTTCTGTTTTCTTCTTATCTCTTATATGAAGCACTCAGTCAGTTTTTCTGGGGTATCTCTAGTCAGTCCTTTTCCCTACTTAGACCAGTGTCTCATCATTAGCTCTCTTTCTCCTCATATGGTTTCTGTTGTAGTTGAGATCTATTGAAACATGACACCCTTTTCTCTGTCATTCACCTTCTTCATATTTCCCTACATGACTTGCATCTCACTCCACTCATTTGCCACAAGGTTTTTGGGGTGTTCATCTCACCTTGGAGTGTCGGGCAGAAGCTGCTTGCCATAATTTTTCTTTCATGGAAAAAGCCTGCACTGGGGAAGTGCCTGCCCACTTTCCTGGCTTGCACATTCCAGCTTTTCAAAATATGTTTTGTGGCAACTTCTTCAGTAAAAATTCTTTGTGGTAGTTAGGTCTGATCAGATCTGGGCCTTTCTCTGGATTCTTCCCAACATAAATCCTCTCCTGCTCTTTAAGAGAAATATGAGAGTCCCTTGTCATTCCAAGTTTTTAGCCATTGGGGTGGTCAACTTGCAGAGTCGCTCACTTGTTTTGCGATCCCTCCATAGAGAGTCCTAGTTGACAGCACACTGTGGTGGGAATTAGGGCTGGGGTGTCAATGTAGTACAGGTTATTTTATTTTATGCCAATTTCATGGTGGTTTTCATCAACTGGTGGGGCAAAGTGTTGTTCTTAGGAGGCAGGTAGGGACTTTAGTATCCATTGCTGTATGGTGAGTAAATCGTACAACAGAACACATACCAAACCTTGCAGTCTGATTATTGTCCTAGCCATACTACACCTCATGTCTTTCATGTTCATGTATTTTTTCTGCCCACACCTGCAATTATTGGCTTGTTTTTGCCTTCATCCTTTCTCAGAATGATATAGTTTTGCATGAGTGTTGCCCTTCTAGTAAGTTCCCATTAAGGGAGCTCTTCTAAGTTTTCTTTTTTGCATCAACCCTTCCACCACATTAGTGTCAGATTCTAGTTACTGTGTACAGAAAAGTAAGTGTATCATTTCAGAAGTTAGCATCATTTTTACCTGAAAATGTATTTCTGATAGGTCTTTCCATCATTCCTCCCCGCTACCAGTGCACATTATTCTTGCCTTGTCTAAGAATAGAATTAATTTTGAGTGCAAGTGCTTATTGGGGATCTACTGTGCATGAAGGATGTCACCCTCCTATTGGTGGAGGTCTATTCCTGCATGATGATTACATCATGTACTAGTGCAGTTAATGCAAAACTTGATTTAGGTGGGAGGTAGTTCCAGGCTAGTGGTGTGCACAAAACAATGGCAGGTGTGTGAGAAATTGCTATTGTGTGGAGACAGGTAAGTATCTATTGGAGATATATTTTAAGGTAAGGAAAATATTAACTTCCCACAATTTCATTAACCTTGAATCAGATGAGTAACTTGAGTATTTGTCATTACTGGGCTGCTTTTTAAATTCTGACATTAAGTTTTTTCTTCTCAGCAGGCTGCTAGGTTTCTTTCTGTAGAGCTTGTGTTGCTTGATTGTAAATAAATAATTAATTTAAAAATAATTTTCTGAGAAAAATCTCTTAAACACAGCTTTGGTGTTTAAAGACAGTTTTGCCAGTGTACTTTACCTCTTACATGAATTGCTTTATGAAATTTTCAAACCTTCGGTGATTTAACTGCTTAAAAATTGTCTTCAAACATTATACCTAATATTTTAGATAACATTTTTAAGATTTATTCCAACTTACCAGTACTAATTGTACCAATATTACTATCTGTTTAAAGAACATAACCATTAAATTTCACATTTGCTTTTAGCTACTACCTTCAGTTTTATCAAAGTAATCTTGTTACTTTTACAGAGATTTTATCATCTGATTCTAGTGTTCTATCTGAACTCATACCAAAGTTAATCCATGTAATAATAATAATAAAGGAACAAAATGGTGAGATGTTTATTACTATTTCAGCATACTAATAGTCATCATAACAAAGTTAGTCTTGTTTCTATTAAAGGGACAACATTTTGAGATTTTACTACTAAATTTCAACTTATCAGCATTAATCATACCTAAGTCTTGTTAAGCACAAACAAAAACTAAGTGACTTATCTTATTTGAGCTTAACAGTATTTTTCTAATATAGAAATAAATCCATGAGATATTATCAGCTAATTTTAGCATACCTTTAACAAACACATCAAAGTTAGTCTTATTACTATCACAGGCCAAAAATCAATATATTATACATTCAGTTCCAGCTAGTTTGTTTGTTTATGCTATTGTGTATAACCATGTGATTTTATTACTGGATCCTATCTTACCATGTAGTTATATTAAATTGAGTGTGGTAACTATTACAGTGCTAAACTTAAACATTTTTAGTAATGTTAAACTCTCATGAATCAAGTGTTGAAAAAAAGTATTTTCTTAGTATGGGGATTTAACATTTAGAGAGACATCCTCCTTTATAGCTTCTTCATGGCTCTTAGTATATGAATTTTTGGCATTTTATTTCATCATAACTTAAATATATTCATGCTAATGATAGAGATTGTGAACTAATCATGATAATTTTACAGAAATAACTAAGTTAACTGTAACTTAGTCATTTATAAAAGTACAAGTTTTGTTTTACCACAGAAATTAATAACCATATAAATTTTCTGTCTTAAAGATGGTAGTAGTACATATTTATTATCTCCAGTGCCATTTGGTATACATAAAGTAAGACTGATTAGTCAAAGACTCGTGGTACAGGTCAAGAAGTCTTTTGGTCAGCATTTAAGGTGTCAAAAGATAAAGTGGTAAAATACTGGCCAATTAAGGCTAATAATGGTTAGGAAAATAATCAGTTACTGTGTGAAATTTTTGTAATTTAATTTGAGGGAATTATATTTTATTTGTAGGGTTTCTGTGGAAGTTGATTATTTTAAATTTAAACTTTAAGAGAAGAGGGATTTTTATTCTGTGTATGGATTTGAAGATTACAAGCACACAATTCTGTATGTTTTAATTTTTACTCTGATATGTGCCTTACTGGTCTTTGATATTTTAAACTCTTGCTCAAGATTCAAACACTTAAGAAATTGTTTCTGAATTTCATTTAAAGATCTAACAAATCTACCTGTGGTAACCCTTTGTATAAGTTATTTTAGGTTAGAGTATTTTGAATAAAAAATAGCAAAGTTTCAATAAAAACATGAAGAAAACAAAATGTTCTTACACATCATTGGTCAAATGCTATTTCTGGACTAACTGAATTGCTATTTCACACAATATTGTACTGATGCATTTTTGTAGAAATATATTCCTTTATTTTATTTTTTAAAGATAACAAAAATGTGTACCTTCTAGCTTGTTTCTTGTTTTTGAAAATGGTTAAATTTAAGGCCTTCAACTTTTATGAGTGACCTGTCTTAACCTTTACCCACATACATAGCTTATCTTCATTTTTCACAGAATGAATTAAAAAATCAAAGGATGTAAATGCTTTGCTGAGATGGAAACCTGGATCTGTCTACTTGTTTAAAATATTCTTGTTGATGGAATCTTTTTACAAGATGTAGGAAGAAGAATTGTTGTGTGCTTAAACAAGTCTTCAAAAACTTCATACAATATACAAACAAAATTATATATTGATATAATTTTTGTGGATTTCAAAAACGTCTCGCGCTACAAGTATGAATTAATCTGCAAATGTCAAAGGGCTACCTGGGTTCTCATTCTTGATGTGGTACACCTATACGTTAATATTTCATTACAACTTTAAGTGGCACTCTAACTATGGTTGGGTGTTAAGGTTTCTTAGCAAGACTAATTGGCTCTGGTTTTGAGTTGAAGGCTTTCTTTGTAGTAGATTACAACAGTGGAACCTGTTTATAAGGCAATGAATGCTCTGTCTTCTGCTAAAAAGCTTTATTAGGCCAGTAAAGATTATAGTTAAAAATTATTAACCTTAATGTTAAAGATTTCATCATTAGTTTGTGTTGTTGGATATTAGTTGTACACAGTGTTATTTCTATGAAATGAAAAGCAGTCTGAAGAACCAAGTTGAGAAATTATTTGAATGTAAACTGTGGAGCATGAAGCTGACAAATGTGTAACAGTATTGTAAAGATTTAGCTTCATACAGTTTTGAAAACCTTGTTTTCTCAAAAGTTACTTTGAATTTCATACTTCCTGTGTATATCTTAGTATTTAACCTTAACCAGTAGATGATGAAATTATAAGTAAGGTAACAGAAGACTAAGATGATGAAGTTTATTCTACTTGTTTTATAACCACGTAATGTATTTTAGTAGCCACAATCTACCTTAATCTACAATAGACCTTTTAGTGATAAGGAATAGAACATATGTGGTACTACAAAAGTTTTTAGTGATACAACATAATGTGAAAAGAGAGCATCCAAAACAGAATTATTGTTATTTTTGTTTTAGTTGTAGTTTAAACAGAAAAGAAGAGTTGCTGTTATTGTATTCATGAGGTTGGAGTTTTGTCTTATAATAATTTGAGATTTTAGTAGGGCCAAATCTAGGCCAATTTTCAATGGTCGTTTTAAAAAATAGAAAAGCTGTGAAATTTTAAATAATTTTCACAAAACATATCTGCTATAATGCTTTACATTTATGAATTGAATGTAATAGTGGAGATGTGTAAAAGAAGTAGAGAAAAGAGGGATTTGGGAATAAACATTACTATAGTAACTTGTTTAGTTTTATATTTCTAACTACTTACATCATATATATATATATTGTGCTTGTTAATGGTGAATAAAGCATAATCTTAGATTTTATGGTTAGTGACTGGTAGTACTAAGAAGTTTTCATAAAATTGTATTAAGTGTTTTACAGTATTACTTGACACAGTTATCCCAAGAGTTAGTGGTGGGTGGTATTGATGAGCTCCCTTTGCTCTTGTCTATCACTTCAAAATTTGGGATAGATAGTGCAGATAACACTCATGCAGCTTTGCACAATATCAAAGATCGCTAACTATTATGGAAAACTCATTCAAAAATAGTAGGTGGACTATCTAATTGTTTTATTATTGAAATTTCTTTACCTTTCAGGATCACTGTGAATTAATAGGTCTGTGATGTATGTTTGTCTCTCCTATTTTTAGTTAGGAAGTTCTCCTTTTCATAGTATTCTGTACTTTTTACATATTGGTATACACGCGTACACACAGTTATATATGTATATATTAAGTCAATTATTTTTCATTGCTGACAAATAACATCATTATTTAATGCAATAGTATATTTTGTAAGGTTTGAAGTGAGATGATATCTTGACTTGATTTCCAGAAAATATTGCAAATCATTCAATTAAAAATAAAATGTTGCTTTAACAGTGTAGCTTAAGTTAATATCTGGAGAGTTAGTTTATTTTTCTCCTTTATAAATATATTTATTCACTCTGCTTCTCTTTCTTAATTAACAACTTGTTTACTGCATTTTTAGAAGAAATATTGTCAGCTCATTACTCTGATTTAAGGAGTGCTTGTGCAAGATTAAAGTAATGCCAATTTTGAGCTTGATAAAAAAAAATAATTGTGAAAAAATATATAAAATATGTATGATATTAAAAATGGTTTCCTCAGCTTTCATTTGTTTTTAGTTGTATCATATAGTCAAGTCCAGTTTTATATATATTCATTTATCATAATATGCATATGTATAAAGTATTACAGCATCGATACCTCTTTGTAACAAGTATCTTGCTTAAGGATTAAAACAAGCTTCATTTAATATAAATGTATTTAAACATTTCTGCAGTGGTAAACAAATGTTACAGTACATTTACAAAATCTCTGTAAAATCTACCTTGGATATAAGACATGAATATTTTGTTATACTTTTTTTAATGTTTGCATGAAATTATGGTATGGATAGGCTGAGAAATTATCTCAGGCCACCATGTTAACAGGAAATGATTTGATAAAGCTGTTTATTTGATTCTTTGATACTATGTTTTGTGTTTTTTAATTTTAAGATATTAAAAATTATTCAAGAAATATTTAATCCAATTTTTTCATATAATAGGATATGGATCTGGACAATTGATCTTTGAATTAGAATTTCCCCAAGACAACTGTCTTTCTACCATTATCCTTTTCCCTTGAGCTCACTTTATAAAATTCTCAAAATGACATATCACGAA